GCTGATTGGCTAAAAGTATTTGTTGCTCTTATGGAAGACCTGAGTTTGGTTCCCAGCACCAATATGGTATCTCACAACCATCTGTAACTCTAGTTCCAGGGAGTCCAACATCCTTGTGTTGCCTCCTTAGGTACCAGGTATGCGTATGGTGCACATACATATATTCAGCCAAAATGCTCATACCCGTAAATTAAAGAAATTGAAAAAAATCATTTTTTACATGTTGGAAGTCTATTTACCTCAGGAATGATGAAATCTGGTCATGGTGGTACTTGCCTGTAATATCAGCATTTAGGAGGCTGAGGCAAGCCTGGACCACAGAGCAAGACTCTAATTTCAAAAATACAAAACAAAACAAAATACAATTCTGAAATACTCTCAAATGCTGCCTTATAGAAAAATCTGAGCTCTATCCCCATCCTTGTGCTCTAAGACTGGCCTTGAATTGACTCTGCAGCTGAGGATGCCCTTCAATTCCCAAACCTCCCTCCCATACCTCACAAGTGTTGGCAGGACAGGTGTGTGCCATCACCTCTGGTCAAACCACACCTTTTAGGTTTCAAGGTGATTGGTATAAAAACAAAATTATACATTAAAATCGGAGCATTAGATGAACTAGTAACATTGGGATCATATAATTTTCAAAGAATTAATGAAAGTATTAAAAAACCTATTGGGATCAATGCTTATTACTATTATATAAAAAAGCACTCACTAAAGTGGTTAATAAAATGACTCGTACATGATAAATTCTAGCCTTTACCTCCTTTTCTTAAGAAAACCAAGGGAAGGGCTAGTGATATAGATCAGTGGTAGAGCACTTGCCTAACATGGGTAAGGCCCTAGGTCTGTCCTTCCTAGCACTGTAGAGATAAAGCAAGCCTATGACATGATTCTTCATGTCATCTTCCTGAACTGGCAGAAGCTCCAAGAAGGCATGTTTATTTTGTTTACCACTATATCCCAGATCCAAATATATTTATTTATTGGACAGATTAATTGGTGTTTTTAAATCAACAATTAAAGATTTCTTGAGGTGTTACAGAAGGAAAAGCAGTTAAGCAGGAACCAGAATAAACAAGTTCTGAGTCATGAAAAATAATTCATGGCTTTGAGTGATCAGTTAGCTGTCTGGGTGTTGCTAGAACACAGGTTATGTGGAAAACACAGTGGAGACCTAGGGCTAAAAATTTGGAGTATGACTAACTTTCTAAGTACTCTGGATTTTGGCCTGCATGGCATAACCTAAGAATGGATTAAAAATAAAAATAATGATTCTAGTTAAGGGACTATTTCAATCAACTAAGTATAGAAATGAAGGCCTGAGGAACCTCAAACTACCAGGCAAATAAAAAAAAAAAAAATAAGATGCAAAAGACTATACATTGTATGATTTATGTGAAATGTCCAGAAAAGGCAACCATGCAGAGACATTAAGTGAGTTGGGGCACAGAGCATGTTGGTACAGGCCTGTAATCCCAGCACTTGGCAGACGGAGCCAGGAGCATCAGTAGTTCAAAACCAGCCAGCCTCAGCTACATCATAAGTCTAAGGCTATTTGGGACAAATTTGGGTCAAAGAGAGACAGAGAGGAGGGGGATAGAAAGGTTAGCAGTTATCTGCTGATGTATTAAAAGAGGTACTACGAATAGGCAGAAAAGGTCATTTCCTGGCTAAGGAACTATCCGTAAAATTGGATTGAGATGATTATTACACAACTATTTAATTTACTAAAATCATCATTAAACTGCACTTTTATAAACAATAGGGAGAAATGAGGGCCTGAACATAGCTATTCATTTGGGAATGGAAATTAAAAATAATGTCTTCCAGAGGGAGACCAGGAACATTAAAAGATATGCTACATGGTTGAAATACAAGAAAGTTAAAATGGCTCAAGTATCTAGCCTAAAGAGTAGGAATGACAGCGGTGCTATTAACGGAAGAGAAGGAGGCTACAGGAGCGCCAGCCTTCAGGCAGTCAGCCAAAGAGGACTGCTTACCCTGTGTGTGCTATTCAAGCACTGCACACCAGAAATCTGAACCTGTCAACAGTCTGCTTTCCTTTGTTACTTTCACTCGGTGCGGAAATGTGAGTAATCTGAAACTCCGGGAGTGGCTGAGAACCAAGAGTGAAGAGAACAATTTTACCTGCATTTGGCTGCTTCTAAGATTACATATAGATAATGAAGGCTGGATTGAGGACATATTTCTACTTGCTCTATAAATGAACTTAAAATCTAGATATCACTTTGGAAAATTTGAAAAGCAAAAATGAGGTTTAATGATATTTGTTTGTTTGTTTTTTTCAAGACAGTTTCTCTGTGTAGCTTTGGAGCCTGTCCTGGAACTCACTCTGTTGACCAGGCTGGCCTCCAACTCACAGAGATCCACCTGCCTCTGCTTCCCGAGTGCTGGGATTAAAGGCGTGCGGCACCACTGCCTGGCTTTAATGAGGTCTTTTGATTGTACAGTACTTGGTCTTGCCTATTAATCTATTATCAAATTGATGGAATAAAAACATAACCTGAAAGTGGCTATTACAAGCTTAATGAAAGTACCAAACTTAATCCTGGCAAAGCCAAACTTAGCCAAAAAAAAAAAAAAAAAAGTCCAGATGACACATAAAATAAACAACACTATAACTAAACATTTCACAACATAAATCTCAGAACAAAAATAAAATAAAATAATGCAGCTTTCTCTTGGTAAAAGTGGGATTTGAAATTAGTGTCTACAAACCAATCATCTTTGAGATAGCAAAATTCCTTATGTCGGAGCAAACAAGGAAAACCTAATCAACAGGTACTTAAGGCCTTTTGGATTTTGAAACGACTCAGGAATCACAGCTGTGGCTTCAAGTCTCTTCATGTCTAGCCTCAGTCTTCTCATTTGTTAACACTGGCCAGGGCAAAGTTGGACACGTTTTGCTATTTTCACTGAGTAGTGACTCTCAGGGTACAGGAAAGAAGGGCAGGGTAGGCAAAGGACAAACACCTGCCCACTGCAGTCAGCCCACGCAGGACTGACTGTGCAGGCTTCTGCAAGCAGGGCCATCCAGGCTAGTGCTGCCGCAGCCCCAGAGCCTGTCCAGCAGCGCAGGAAGGACGTCAGCAGGGGAGGACCGTCTGAGACCCTCTGCCTTCTAGACGGCTTCCTACCTTCACTGCGTACAACTTGCCGCCTTTCTGTCCCAGGTACACTTTCCCGAAGGCACCGCGGCTAATGGGCTTCACTATGGTGAACTCCTCAATGGAGGGTGGTCTTGGCACCGGGATTCTATTCACGCACTCCTCGGTCGCCGCGCCCCCTTCAGTCTCCTCACTCCCCGAAGCGGACTCCATAGCCGGCCAGTTCGCAGCCGCAGCCCGCGGCTCCCGCCAACTAGATTCAAAAGAGGCTTCGCCCACG